TCACTAAAGTCTGCAAAAAGCAAGTCCCTTGTTTAGATATCCTAGTTGTAATGAGTGACATTATTAGGTAGTTCTTCTATTTAAATGACATAAGGATTTAGTGTATCAGCAGCTTATAATAAACAAGCCCTTTCAACCTGATGACTCCTTTCCCTACACATGAGTACTTTTTGTGTTTATAATACAAGTGGTAATAGAAGACCATATGGTTGTGACTTTTAGCTAAAGTAAATGACATTTAAACAAACAAAAACAGCATTAGGATATTCAAGGATCTGAACTATAACCTAAATACACAGTACACTTTAAGGGGCTATTAGTGTTAACTATATACACTGACCATTTTCTAAAGCTGTTCAATTAGTGAGTTGTCAGTTTGCTGATCAGTTTTTCAAAAATATTTTCTAATATACTGTCAAACACCTTTATCACTGGCATATTGCCCCATTTACAACTTCTTTTAAAAAACACTGTATTTTTATCCTGAGAACATTTAATCAGTTCTTTCTGAAATGTAAAACTGTTTCTATTGCTCAGATCTCTGCCAATAACAATAATGATGTTGTTATTCACATATATATAATTTTTAAAAAGAAAAGTACAAGAAAGTGGGAATGGTACAAACAGAGAGAGCAGTTCAGAAGTTATCGCAAGAAAACGATATGAATTTGTCTTGCACCCCAGTGGTAGCAGAGATAGTAGCAAGAAGTGGTCTAATTCTGATTATATTTAAAAAATACAGCAAATCCATGATTTGCTAAAGGATTGGATGTGCAGCAAAAGAGGAAAAGAGTCAAGGAAGACTCCAAGATTTATAACCAGAGCAAGCAGAAGAATGGAGTTGCCATTGCTGTGATGGGGATATGTGTGGGAGGAGCCAGTTTGGGAAAGAAGATCAGGAGTTTGGTTTCGGACATACTAAGTTTGAAGTGCCCATTGTATACTAAGGTAGAGATAGTAGGCAAACTATTAGATATATGATTCTGAAGTTCAGGAAAGAGGTTGTAGTTGATATAAATTTGGGAGTTAAGTTAGGTAGTATTTAAAAGCATGAGACAGGATGAGGCCACCTAATGTGTGAGTGTATATGAAGAAGAGAAGAAGTTTAAAATATGAACCCTTAGTTACTCCAAAGTTTGGAGGAACCAACAAAGGAATCTCAGAAGGAACAGAAAGATAGGAAAAAAAACCCAGAGAATGTGCTGTCCCCAAAACTAAGTGAAGCCAGGTTTTGAGAACAAGTATTTCAAATACTAACAACAGGTCAAGTAAAATGAGGACTGAAGTTGACCACTGGATAGATAACAGTTGGGACCCCTGACAAGAACTGTTTCAGAGAAGTGGTGGGGACCAAAACGTAACAGGAATGAGCTCAAGAAAGAATATGAAGTTCAAGGCAGTCAATGAGTAGACACAACTCTTCCCTATAGGAGGATGTAGTGTCAAAGGAGTTTGTTTATATGGTAAATTTTATAGCGTATTTGCTAATAGGAACTTAATATATTGCAAAATGCCTAAACTGTACCACAGTTACACCATGGATTAAAATCATAGCCCTGGACTATCACACAATGTTACCTTCAGAAAAATTATAAAGTGTTTTTCTCCATCTTTTCATTAACTTTATAACAAAATTTCACTATATTACCTGAGCCCTGGCCCTATTTTCCCTAGGAAAATGGAAACTACACTATATAGGTTTTTACACTGCATTTTGCCTACTGTGCAAATCAATAGGATAATGACCATTCATTTTTTGTATTTCCTATTTGCTAAATGCTTCTATTTCCAACTAAATTATTTTTGGCAAATTAGTGGCTTTTAACTTCAAACTGAGGAATTCTTATAGTATAGAAAGGCAAGTTATTCAAGATGTTTGAGCTGAGTATATATTTCTTTTGAAAGTCACAAATTAAGCTCATATCCTAGTAGCCAGTGCTTAGCCCATAACCCAAAGCAAGAATTACTGGCCTCAATACCATGAAATGAGCAAAACCCACTGCAACAGCACCTGATAGGGACTGCTCAGTTTCCAAATGCTTAATGTAAAAAATAAATCATGGTTTGTTAAGTATTGCTACCACATGGACTTTTAGAACTCCAGACTGAATAAAATGGTTCCACATCACTTAACCAATGATCTGTTTATATTCTTTTTTGCCAACTTAGGAACAATGCTATTTCTTTCATATGCTAAACTCTACGTTCTAGGTTCCAAATGACAATTTTGGTGTTTTCTTTCCGAAACACCTACTTAGGAGAATTTTTTTGGGGGGGGGCCCTGGAATTCAAAACACATTTAACATTCATCACCTTTACCAAGCAGCTCAATCAAGATCTGAACAGTAATGTCTTCATCATAAACAACAATGACTTTTCTATGATGATACATCGGTAAAGGAGAGAACCCATTTCATAAAATATCTCTGTGCTTCAGAGATAACTGAAAAAGGGAACCCTCTAGAGGAGGAGACCGTGTAAAGGTTTGGGTATCTCTTCAGAGTGCTCCAAACTTGGATGAATTTTTGTTATAAATCACCTTGATTAATGGAACACATTTGCTAAAGTGGTTCTATAATAACTACACAATTCTTGTTGCTTGAAAAACCCAGCCTGGAAAAACTGGTGGAGGCAGGGAAGCCTTCAAAAAATCACTGGCTTCTCTTTTAGGACCAATACTGTCCCTGGTCAGAAATAGTTACCTTTCTTTTTAAAAAACAATGAAGACAAATATATTTTAAGGGAAGTACAATTTGATGAGATGGGAGTATAAATAATAATAATAATCAGTAGAGAATATTTTGGGAGAAGTAGTAGTAGCATGGTAAGGAATATAAATTCTCTATGGAGCCAGGCTACTTGTGTTTGAATTCCAACGTTTTTTTTTTTTTTTTTTTTCCACTAACTGAAACTGGGCAATCTGTTTAACCTACCCATTGTCCAGTTTTTTTATCTGTCAAATACTGTCACTACCTATGTTATTGGGTTGCTGTTGTGATGATTATAAATTAACCCTTGTGAAGAGTGTCAACAGTATCTGGTACAGATGAAGTATATAATAAGTGTTGGCCAATAGTATTACAATTATGTCTGTCAGTTATAAACATGCAAACCAAAGTGATTGGAATATACCTAGAACAATATAGCAGTGTCCTCTAATTTATCCATTCATTGAACATAAAAATTCAATGAATATTTTCCTTAAATAGAATATTCAAAAAAATTTACATCTTATACTCCTCTGATTGTCTTCTCGGTACTTAGTAAATATCTAATCCCCTGATATTCTTCCTCTAATAACTCTTAAAAAGAAAACAATTGTGTGGTGTTTAAGTACACAGATAGCAGATGCCATTACTTACATGTTTTGTTGTTCTACCTATTGATATGGGTATGTTCTGCCTATTGATACTTCTACCTAAGTATATGCTTGTTGCTAAAACAACTTAAAAGTGACTAGAAGGTCTCATGAAATGTTAACAGTCATATGAAGGTGAAATCATTATGTAAAATTCTGACATTTTTGAAGAATAAAAGGATACAATGTCCATGATGAAGGTCATAGAAAAAATAGATTACCTGATACCACACTATCACCTTCAACATTATCACCATCAGCTAACAATTACTAGTATATTTAGCACTGTGGTAATAAACAATAAAAGCATTTGCACTGCTGAACCATAATCTATTATGATGGTACAAAAATAATAGATTTAATAATCTATTGATCAAACTTACAAGGCAATCAGAGGCTATTATAGTTCAAAATAAATATACAATGATCAAGACAATTTAACTCTTAATTATTTGCTTATATTGGGGATGAAAATAGAGGTAAAGTTAGTTAACAGATCTAACAGCTGCATCAATAATTTGAGGGTGACACAGAAAATTTAAAGAGAAGTAAAAAATTAAGTTATAATTATTAAAGTAAGACAAGTATATGCTGAGTAAACAAAAGGCCACCCTCCCCTGCCATAAGCTCTGTCATGGCAGCCATGTGATCGGTGAGAGGAGCTAAAATTACATCTGCTCTTCACTCGTCCATCGTGCTGCTCTTGCTTTCTTTTTCTAATTGGATAGTCAAGTTGACTAGAGCAAGGTATATACAATTTCTAGCCTAAAAATTTAAGTAGGATTTAAAAAGACTAAACTATAGACTTTGATTTTACCATATTTGCCACTAATAAGTTAGTGGAAAAATTTTCTAAGCCAGGATCCCAGATGGCATTTAGCTGGCATGTTTCCTTTGTCTTCTCCAATCTAAGACAGTTTTTGTCTTTCCTTGTTTTTCATGACCTTGACATTTTTGAAAGAGTTTTAGTCAGTTATGTTGCAGAATGACACTCAGGGTTTGTCTGATATTTTCTCATGATTAGACTGAGGTTACACTTACTTTTGCAAAAATATCACAAATGTGATGTGCCTTTCTTAATGCTTCATTTCAGGGGCTACATTATGTTGATATGTCTTTTTATTGGTGAAGTTAACCTTGATCACTCATAAATATTTCCCTAGAGCTCAAAGAATCAAGGAATTACAGCATATAAATAACAAGATAATTTACAGTATAGTCAAAAAAACTTCAGGGGCTACATTATGTTGATATGTCTTTTTATTGGTGAAGTTAACCTTGATCACTCAATTAAGGTGGTGCAAGTTTCTCCTCTACCAACTACTATCTGTCCCTTTGTAATATCTTGAAAGAGATACCTTGAGACTGTGTAAATAAACTATTTTTCTCAAACTTTTGCCCCAAATTTTGACATCCATTGGTGAATCTTGCCTGCAACAATTATTGAGATATTTATATAGGGTTTTAAAAGAAACTAAAATATATAAAATATAATGGCCAAACTGTTCTGGATACAAACATACTTAACTTCTACTGAATGCAGCATTTTAACTTATATTCAAAATGTGAATTAAAGTTATTTTCTTTTGTCAGTGTGTTCAGTTAATATTAATCAATGAGTAATAATTAAAATGTTACTTACATAACTATGGCTTTTAAAGAAATCTGATGGACTATTGGTGAGGATTTTGTCTCCTTCCAAACCAATTACTCTTTTACAAATGTTTGATTTTGGATCACTTGGGCTTTTTGCAATCACAATGTCACCTCTGAGGGGAAAAAAGTCAAAGAAAGGTCAGTGTTATTTATTAAACATAAATACATGGATGGCACTGCTATAATACTTTTATAACTTAAACAAAGCCACACCCTTTATCCTCTCACATATTGACCCTCTCATATATTTACCAGCTTTGAGAAACTTTGTGACTGAGTTTTATGGGTCAGAATCCAACAGGAGTAGTGGAAAAACTATTAGAAGATTTTAAAATTTCTGGTAATTCCATAACAACCATCTTCTGCACTTTATCCACTATGTGTTACTTCTGTATCCAAATTTTTAGAACCAAAACTACAGAAAAGCAATTCCACATAAGTACCACCAAATTAAGTAAATTTTACTGTCCAGCCATTAGTACTGATTGACTCTAGAGCACATAAAAACATAGGAACAGCATAAATATTTCCCTAGAGCTCAAAGAATCAAGGAATTACAGCATATAAATAACAAGATAATTTACAGTATAGTCAAAAAAACTTCTTTTTGAGGAAGAATATCAGAAGACACAGCCAAATAAAATGCTAAAAGCTGCCCAAACATATACTACAAAAAGTAAATTGGTATATCAAACATAGAATACCAACATGGGTATGAATACATGTAGAAGGCATGATTCATGGAAGAAGTAACAATATACATGTATTAGAAGAAAAAGAAAGATCTTTAAAAGTGTAAATGAACGAGACAAAATGGAGGAAGGAGACAAAATAGGACTAAGCACTCACCAAACAGAACACAACACTCTTTCTGAAAAAAATGAGTAGTAAGTGAATTCTGTCGACTAACACACATATTTGAAAGGATTTAATTGTCTATATTATCTGTACATAGTTCCATAAATAATTTGATGTTACTTATAATAAAAGGTGCATATATTAAAATATCAAAAGCCATCAAAAGGAAAATGACAGTCAAATCAGAAACCTAGTTATCGCTACATATAAGTATTAATAAGAGTTCTAAACCTTTTGGTAGCCAAGTCAAAAATGAAAATCTGATTAATTACACAGGAATGATTAACAAAATAAAGTTTAGTTTGGGAGGTAAAACAAAACTGTCTTAAACACCTAAATCAAAGAGGAATATACAAGAAGGATTCTCATGTAAGGTAATAAAAGACACCATCCTCCTCAGAAATTTTACAGTAATAGTATTCAGGGGAATGATAATTTCTTGTGGTTAAAGTTGAAAGCTATTAAAACACTAAATTCTATATTTGCAGGTATTATAAGGATGCCTTTTTTTTGAAATGGGATAAACTAGTCTCTTTTCAACCAAATGGAACCATGCCAGTGGAACTTTCGGATGAACAAGTTTGCAAAGATTATTACATACTAAACAAAGTTGATTTTGGCTAGCTTTGGGGAAAGAAATGTTTTCTGTGGGTGTTTTATTCAGCTTTCATTTTTTAACAAAATAATAAATATGATCCTTAAATTCTGCACTTACATGGCAACATAAAAATCATAATTCAGCCAAGGTAGCTTTTTAAAAATATTTAATCATTTTAAAATTTTTATTTATTTATTTATTTTAGTTTAGGTAGGCTCCACGCCCAATGTGGGGCTTGAACTCACAACCCTAAGATTAAGAGTCACATGCTCTACTGACTGAGCCAGGTGCCCCTCAGTCAAGGTGTTTTTACAGAAACCAATATTTATGCAGACTATACTTCTGATGGTATAACTAGATATATGTATAGAGCTTAGATCAAAGTAATTATTCCTTGTTTTCTCAACTCTTTTCAAATAGGGTTTTAAAAGGAACTTAATAGAAATTTTCCTTTCTCATTTATAGTTATAAACATGCTTATTATCCAGTTAAATTGTAAGCTTTTGAAAAGGGTCAATATCTTACTCATCTTAACATTCTTTGTACTACACATCTTATAAATTAGGTGCTCATTAACTATTTGGTGAAAGAATAAGTAGTAATAGTAGTAATAAGAGACTCTGTTTTAAATATGAGTGTTCTGTGCATTTAACTGAAAAGAGATCCATGTGCTTTAGATACCAGTTATGGAGACTTTCATTTTTCCTAAATGGATGGCTATTCTAGCTTTAGAAACAAGCAGCTAGCTAACGGATCTCTTGCCAAGGGTCAGAGATTCCCCTGAAATCTCAGGAGTTCTGTGCTACAGATAAAAGAAAAAGAATACTCAGAACAGTACTATTTTTAAAGTTGAACTTGCAAACTGACAGCCTTGGTTATAAAAGTTATTTGGTATATGTCATATAAATGCCAGATTTTAAGCTGTCCTTCAATCTAAGGGGCCCCTTGATTGAACCAAATACAAAATGAAACCTTACAAGAATCTTAACTTACTGAATGTAGTTATTTGTATTACCCATCTGAATGCAAAGATTATCTATTTTAAAAAAAAAGATGATTTTGAGCTATTCATTCACCATCTATTTAGCCAACAAGTTCAGCTCCTTGTTAAGGATGCTCAAGGACTGAGAGTAAAATCATGTCAATAGCATGGAAAATAGCAGCTTATCTTCATGCTGCAGTGATGCTAGGCCTCCAGTTAATCCAAAGACTGTATGAAGTGATTTGGATATAAGTTAAAAAGAAAAGAAAGCTAGAACACAACCTGTTACATCTTATTTTATAACCCCATAATTATCAATTAGGTGTCTTGAAGTTGTTATGAGTAAAAGATCTGAAGGAGAATTTTACCTAGGGACGATGCTAGACTATACAGCTTGACCAAGAGATAACTTCTATCTACAGAATCTAAAATTCAAAGAACAGTTTTACACCATTCTTGATGACTTTTAGGTAATGTGAAACAGACTACAGAAAAGGCAAAAAATGAAAGAGGAGTGCTTAAACCCACTTATACCATAAGCTAAATACCAACTCTAGTGAGCCAAATTTGAAGTTTATGCAAATGAAAAGGTGGTATTATTTTTTCAGAGTTATGAAAAACTAATGAACCCAAAATTTTAGGGAATCAGGTGCCCTTTAGAAAATACATTAAATTACTAATACTTGACATTCACTCAGAAGGAATAATATACAGTTAAGTAGAATAAACAGTATCACAGGGACTGGAAACACCATTTAGAATAGGATTTTTAAAAATTTAGTTGCACTGATATGTGGAATTTGAGAAACAAGACAGAGGATCATAGGGGAAGGGAGGGAAAAATGAAACAAGATGAAACCAGAGAGGGAGATAAACCATAAGAGACTCTTAATCTCAGGAAACAAACTGAGGGTTGCTGGAGTGGAGGGGGATAGGAGGGATGGGGTGGCTAGGTGATGGACACTGGGGAGGGTATGTGCTATGGTGAGTGCTGTGAATTGTGTAAGACTGATGAATCACAGACCTGTACCCCTGAAACAAATAATACATTATATGTTAATTTAAAAAAAAAAAAAAAAAACAACCTTAGTGGCAAACAGTATTTGTAAGGAGTTTTTCAACTTAATCAATTGGGAGACTCGGGATAGATAAGATTCCTGGCTCCCAGCTATATATGGTGCTATCGTCTAAAGATCATCAAGTGCTCATCATAAGCTGTGGAGAATAAGACAGTCATCAATAGAAATACAGTATTAAAAAATGTAAAGACCAATCACTGATTTGGTATGTAATGTAGTTCCTAAGTCCCTAGGTTCTTCACTCAAAACTCTGTAGAGCCACCCCCCCCCCGACCAAAAGTAAAGTAGGCTTGATCGTACATTATAAAAGGGACTGCTGTTCTATTTCAGCCAATAATGCAAGGGACACAAGGACCCAAAAGACTGTGCATGTTTACAGAAACTATTAAAATTTCTCAAACAGAGAAAATATTTGAATTAAAATTTTAACTAGCTGGCCATTAATTTGGTTATTTAAAAAAGTTTTTAAAGATAAAGTTAAACTACAAAAAAGACACAATGTGTATACATGTTTTCACTATAACTTTAATATATCTATGACAGAAATTTACCTTTGGATACCATAAAAATGTCGACTAAGATTTTCTGCAAAGACAATATCTGAATTTTGAATTGTAGGCTCCATTGATGGTCCAGAACACTGAAAAGAGAGGTAATTTTTTAATTTGAATTGAAACCCTTTTTTAATGTAACAAATTATCTGAACAGGCTTTAAGAAAGAAAATCAAACAAATGTTCTTCAAGTTTGGAGGATGATTTATAAGTTGGAAGCTGCTAGATAAGCTCAACCCTACACAGTGGCCACCAGATCTGGAAACACAGGCAAAAACTTAAAAATAGTTTACTGAGAATACATTACAATATATGAATAAAATACCTATGTTTCCAAATTTTGATCATCCTGTATAATGTAAGCTCCATGAGGTCAGGGACCTTATCACTCATGTTCCCAGTTATATAACCAGTGCCAAAAAGAGTGCTTGGCATAAAGCTGATAATAAATATTTGAAAAAATAAATGAATTATTTATTTATTTTGTTGCTATTATCAAATACCCAGTGCCCATGATGGTAATTTATTAAGTAGTATCATACTCTTCTCAACAAGTTCGTGCCTTGAGTTCTCTTCCAACAGAATAGCTTACTCATTTGATGGGGCTGCAACTTCATTTTCTATTGAAAAAACAGTGGCATAATGAGATGCAATTTAAAAACTTTCTATTAGAGTGTGTTAAAACAATGATCTTCATATATACCTCAAAACTGTAATAAATGATCATTGCCACTTAAAATATCTAAATACAACGGTCTCCATTGACTTCACTTAGGCGTTGATAAAACTTTTTACTCAAAACCTCCTACTGAGGCAGAAATAATAAAGAACACAATGAAAGTTTATGTCTGCTACCTCTGTAGCCCACTGGAAGTACCAATGTAAATTTAAAAAAAGAGGAGACTTTCAGTTAAATATATTTGCATTTCTCCAGCTAAATTTGAGGTTGTATGACTGTGAATCCCTTAGAGTAAACCTGATAAAAATAGCAATACCACCAACAAAACCCACTCACCGGGCATTCAATTTATTCTTTCATTTACCTGACAAAAGATCAGTACAGTCACAGTTGACAGATTTATTATGCAATATTTAGAAAAAGCATTGGTTGGGGGGCAGCCTTAGCATTTTAATATTGACACCAAGCAGAATAATCATTTGTTTTAATGACAGTTAAACACAACTGTTTAAGAGCAGGAGTTTTGAAAATCAGAGAATCTGTGTTGAAATTCCAAATCTACTTACTAACTGTGGAACCTGAAGCAAGTGACTTAAGCTTTCTGAGCCTCAGTTTGTCATATATATAATGGATTTCTAGTAAGTATCTCACAGAGTGGAAAAGATTAAATGAGCTAATAAATATAAAACATCAAACCTCACTGGAACACAGTAAGTAGAAATCAATAAATGATGAAACTATTATTAGATTATTAATAGGGCCCATCAGAATACAGAACCATATTTGAAGTAATGGTTCTTAATTTTATACCAGTGCTAATTCCAACACAGTCTCTTACATCCCACAATTTAGAAAGATTTTATGTTTTAATAGTCACATTTTAGTCACTAAATGACTTCAATTAAAATAAAGGAAAAACACATTTTCCTTCAATTAAAAAAAGTACATACTTAAAATTATTATTCTTTTATGTAAAAACTTACCATGACAACACCACCAACGTATTCAAAAGCACAATGAGCTATACAGCCATACTGAATAGTATAGCCAACAAGTCGAAAGGTTTTTCCCAGAACACCGCGGAGCATAGTTCTATGCAGACTCTGCTACCATTGGCCTGATGGTAAATTTCAAAAAGTTTCATAATCAATACTATTTAAAACACTTAAGAAATAGCTCAACTGTAAAATATTTACAATCACCCAGAATGAGAGTAAATGCCTAATACAGTTTGGTGCAGAAAAGCAAGAGCTTATTTTCATTTGTCTTAATGATATTTTAAATGGCAAATTAAAGCCACTTAATATTTTTTTTTTTAAAGATTTTATTTATTTATTTGAGACAGAGAGAATGAGAGACAGAGAGCATGAGAGGGAGGAGGGTCAGAGGGAGAAGCAGACTCCCTGCCGAGCAGGGAGCCCGATGCGGGACTCGATCCCGGGACTCCAGGATCATGACCTGAGCCGAAGGCAGTCGCTTAACCAACTGAGCCACCCAGGCGCCCAAAGCCATTTAATATTTTGATCCGAACAGAGATTATATTCAGATATCACTGGGTTTACATATAAATTAGATAACTAGTAGACTCTGATTTTATCTGTCTCCTTTCATGCTTTGATTTTTTTCTTGGTATTAATATAGATACCTAAGAAAAGATATTAACTCAAAGTAGTAATAATAGTTTTTCATACTGTTGCCTGCTATACTATATCAGTTCTTGCCATAATATGACATAAAAGAGAAAGCACTAGAATAGGTATATGGAAATTCAAGTATTAAATTGATACTTTCATTAACTTGTATGATCTTCAATGACTTACTTAACCTCTCTTGGCCTGGAAATAATATCTTATTGAATGGTTCTGAGAATAAAATTCAATAACATGTCAAAGTGCTTTGTAAATTACACAGTTACATTCAGTTGTCAGTTATTGACTACTGATACAGTAATGAACACATTAATACTATGAAACAACATAAAGAACCATATAAAGATTTTTTTAAAGCTACCTAAAAAGTTAATATTATTCATCTAAAATATTCCTAGTAATCTGTCTCTTCCCTTTCCACTTATCTGTTACAACTATGTTTCAAGAATTTCTCAACTAATGGCCTAACGTATAGGCCTAGGCTACTATGCACTGTTCTCAGATTAAATTTACTGAAACAAATCAATAATAGTAATATGATGTAACATTTGCTCAATACTTGCTATATACCAGGCTTTACAAATTAACCTCTGCAGATATTATCATCCTCATTTTATAGATAAGAAAAAGGAGCCTAAGCATAGTAAACTTCCGTACTCAACATCACAAAGTTGGAAAAGGATTATGTTACACTGACTCCTGTATTACTCCCCTCCTCCCACAAACTCAGTGGCTCTCTCCTGGATGAAGTACAGATTAGACTCATTTTCAGGATCCATGAGAGATGGCTCCCATCCCATCCTCAGTTTCCAAGCTGATCTTCCCTGATACTCCTACATGACCTGACTACTCAATAATACTGGTTTGTTCTTCAGGTAAACTTTGCCAGCAAACACTTATTTATGCCAACACCCATGCTTGGAATAGTCTTCATGATATCCATCATCTATCTAATTTGTAACTCTTCTCCAAATGCTCTCAATAGGCAAGATTTTCTTTCTCTTCTGGGTTCCCATGGATCTTAATGTTCGTTTTTTAAAAATATATAGCATTGAGAGCACTTTTTCTAAAAAGTTGACCTGCCTGAATTTAGAACCTGGATCCACCATATTTTAGCTGTGTGACTTCCAGGAAGTTATTATGCCTCAGTGAGTCTCAGTGTCTTTATCTGTAAAATGGACTTAATACCGGGCACCTGGGTGGCTCAGTCGTTAAGCGTCTGCCTTCGGCTCAGGTCATGATCCCAGGGTCCTGGAATCGAGTCCCACATCGGGCTCCCTGCTCAGCGGGAAAGCCTGCTTCTCGCTCTCCCACTCCCCCTGCTTGTGTTCCTGCTCTCGCTATCTCTCTCTGTCAGACAAATAAATAAAATCTTAAAAAAAAAAAAAAAGGACTTAATACCTATCTAAAAGAGTTAGGACTATATGCAATCAGTCATGTAATCTGTGTTACAGAGTATTTCAATAAATGCTAGTTATTGTATCATTCACTTAGCAATTCACATATGCTTTATAACCTCATAATATTAGTTGCATTTTCAATTATCTAAGTTTCTTGCTAACTGATCTTTAAATAATAGAATTTTACAGCCTGCAGCATAGGACTATATCTTTTATATGTGTTATATTAGTGTTCATTCACCTATTAAACATTTACTATGTCTCCTCCTCTAACAAGTCTTCCTTGGCACCCTCCCAAGAAATGTTACTTATGCTTTGTGTCACTCACCTTCCTTACGCATACACTGATTATAATGCTTACCACACTATATTGTTTATATTTTTTTCCCTTATTACACTACATTTGTTTATATGTTTGTGGGCAGTGACTGTGCTAATCATCTTTGAATCTGCAGGGCCTACCAAAGAAGACAGTAAACAGAAGGCTTATCTGAGGAAATCAACGAATGAATTTTGAACCCAATCTCCTATGCCTTCCATATCTTCATTATTATAGAATGGTTATAATGTTCAAAATGATGAGAAGACAGCTGAGACTTTTGGTTAATGAAGAGACATGTTAATGTCATATTCACTGACAAAAGAAATTGTCAGTAACATATTAAAAAGTTTTCTCATTAAATCATTCAGGTAATACGAAAAATAACTCCTCCCATCAGGAGGAATGAGAAATTTGGTTTAGTTATAACTGTTGTATTTTAAAAATTAGTAATTTTTGGAGCTCAAAAAATAAAAAGTGCTATTTAAAAATAAAAACACTTTATAATTGAAACTATTAATTCAAACAGACTTAAGAGGAAAACTGAAATAATAACAGAGTAAATTTTATCTATAAAGTTAATTAGGTTGCCTAGGAACTACTTTGCTCTAACTTTCTCTAAATTAGGGAAAAGTGGGATAAGTCCTATAGCTTAGCTCTGAAAATGTGATCTATGATAATAAATCCTAAAAGTAGTGCGATGGATATTACATTTTAAAACTAAAATAAAAATGGGCTTACATTAGAGAGGAGATAATATTATTAAACAAGAGGAAACATATGGCACTTACCAAGAAGCTATTGCTAATATAGGTGAAAGGTGAAATTAGAGGTTCAATCACTTAGCAATCTACCAAAATTTAAAACATTTGGATTATGCAATAGAAGCCACTTGGTTAAAAAACATACTCAAAAATACAAAGATGCTGTAACTATACAATGGTTCTGAGTCACTGAGAAGGCTTGTTATTCACTCCCATTCAGAAGTAATTGGAGCCATAAAGCCTTTTTTTATGACACAGATAATGCCCAACTCCAAATACAATGTTTGTAATGAAACGGTCTCATAAAATATCAGAAGAAAGAAGTTGACACTGTTTCTTCCTGACAGATATTGGCAACACGATAGAGTGTGAAGTATCTAAAATTACTTTGGATATTAGTCTCTTAAGGGGGAAAAGAGAGCTATAGAGAGAAATCTGAGGATAAAGGCTATTTGGCCCTGTATTTTAAAAGTGCATTGAGAAGCACTGTTGAGAAATATTGAAACTGAGAATCAGAGCCCATGGATTTTTTTTTTTTAAGAGTAATCTTAAAAAAGGGCGCCTGGGTGCTCAGTCGCTAAGCATCTGCCTTCAGCTCAGGTCAGGATCCCAGAGTCCTGGCATTGAGCCCCACATTGGGCTCCCTGCTCAGCGGGAAGCCTGCTTCTCCCTCTCCCATTCCCCCTGCTTGTGTTCCCTCTCTCGCTGTGTCTCTCTCTGTCAAATAAATAAATAAAATATTAAAAAAAAAAAGAGTAATCTCAGAGTGGAAAGTAGCATTCATATAAAACACAAATAAGCCACACATTGCTGGCACTTAGTAGCCTTACTAGGAAAAAAGATTAAGACAGAGGTTATAAACCCCTGGTTTACGTAGTTATTTCAGAGGTCCATGAATCTATATGTGCATATATGCACTGGATAACTTCTGCTTGTCCCTTCAGATTTACTCTCCGCCCTTCTCCATACTACTCTCTGCCCGAGGAAAACTGACCTATATGAAATACATCAAGGCACTCCTGTACTCTTTAATTCAACTCCAGCAGGAAGTCAAAGGAAGGAAGAGTTATGTATTTTCCTGGTTCCTTTCCTGTGGACTCTTCTTAGGCTCACTATGTCTTTGCCAAAGGCAGTCTGCTGTGCAGTAATTGCTCTTTTAGGTTCCTATAACCCTTCCTTTCCCTGGTCCCTTCGAGTTTAGGAGTGAAAACAGATTTACTGATGCTAGATCCTGTTCCAACCCTGGTGATTCTCCAGTATCTTGTGCACACCTCTGTAATTAGTTTCTGTAAATAAACCTTCCTTAAATTATCCTATTTTGAGTGTGTCAGCTGTTTCCCATAGGCACCCTGATGATATACTACTTGCTAAAAAAACAACTCATCATGTAGAAGTTTACAATATTTGATATTGATGAAGTAATTCTCATAAACAGGCATTTGCAACACTGCTGATGGTTGTGCAAAACAGACAACCCCTAAGAAGAGGAATGTGGCTATTGTAATGACATATACATTTTACTTTCTGACCCAACAATCCCCACTTTTAGGAATTATCCAAAAAAATACAGCGCCAAGATTCAAAAACATCATGTGCACAAGATTCTTTATATTACCATTATCGGAAATAGCAAAATCAGAAACAAGTCAAATATACATCCATAGAAAACAGGTTAACTAAATTACGGCATATCCACACAAAGGAGTTCTATACACGCATGGGCGGGGAAAAGAGTTCTATGAGCTGATATGAAATGATTTCTAGGTAAACTACTTAAAAAAAAAAAGGTGCAAAATAGTAACATCATTTCTGGGAAAAAGGAAAGAGAATATATATATATATATTTGTTTTGTTTGTTTGTTTTCAAAAAGAAAATAACCCAGGGGCAGCTGGGTGGCTCAGTAAGTTAAGCGTCTGCCTTCCGCTCAGGTCATTGATCCCAGGCCCTTGGAATGGAGCCCCGAATCAGGCTCCCTGCTCAGCAG